GTGGATCATACGTTTGGGGATTCGAAAATTTGCAAGAAATTGAGAAGCTACAGAAATATTTCATTTAAAAAAAATTATTCTCTCTCCGGAAAAATACATCTGACTATGTTTTACATCACATAAATTACATTTAAAAAATACTAAATCAACCCGTAAACCAGTTGACAAATTTTCTGGAGAAAGTACTTTGTAATTACAAAACAAATAATATGGTGTAAAAATATATTAAGAGTTAGGCAGAAAATTTTATTTAAATTGATAATACGAGAAGTTTAGGGGCCGACTAGCAGCTGAGGTCAACGCCGATCCTCTGAGTGTTTTTAGGGAACCGTAGAGAAGATAAGTTTGCGAGACCTTCCATTGAAATGCCTGCCCAAACCATAGGTAGCACTACCACCTCCATATGTCCTCTTCGGAGTGAAAATGTTGCAGAAGGATACCAACAAAGAAGAGAGTGACTATTCAATGATTTATTTACACAATCAAATTGTAAACACAAGTGGAAGATTTTATCTGTGTTTTATCTACTTATAATCCATTAAAACGGACCAAATTATTGTAAGATAATCAATGGAAGATTGTCTAAGAGTTAATTATAAATATTAAGTGACCACATTTTTTTACTCTCCGTGTATATACAACAAAACAATCACTTATTATATAACTAACCTAACTGCGGGTCGATGGGGTACTCAGTATTCCGCCATAGGCCCTCTCACATTATACGTCCACGCTAATAAATACATTACTCTCAACACATGCTATGGACACAGAACTATATACAATAAATATCTCCGTGTCCTCCAAGAATTGGAACAGGGGACCCAAATACTCGCTGGGGTTCTTATGTACAATTCTCAAAACGGGAGACATTCCTAAGCGCTCTCTATATGGAACCAAGGAATTGAACCACATCGAGCAACCTTTCCCTACATGCCGGTTATGTCATGTTTTTGTGGAAGATATTTTAAATGTAATAATTATAGGAATGATAATGGTAATTTCTACATCAAATACTAGAAATAATGTTGCTACTAGAAAGAATTGAATTGAAAATGGTATACGGGGATGAGCATGTAGTTTCCGATCCTTATCATCGCTGTACCAAATTGGTAATGCAAGCGGATCTTGGCTTCTCGCCATGTTCATTGGTGTATCCGTATATCGGCCTAGTCAGGTCCTGTATTAATTATAAATCATATCTTAGCCTGGAGTCACTTACAAAATGATCGAAAAACTGCTAAACTACTGATTCATCACCCCGCAGATCCAAAGAGAAAATTTTACATGTTTTGCTTGATTAGGTAAACAATTATTTTGGACTAAATAAATTGTTTTAAAGTATAATAATTACTTGTTGTATCTATAAAACAGAGATTGTTGAACTAAAATAACTAAAATATACTTTGAATGAATAATAATTATATTATTAATGTATATTAATAAAATACACATCGGAATTAAGTGAATTTTATTTTGTAGTTGTGTCCAGCTAAAATCCTGTACCATCGAGCACCTTTCTCTGCGTACCGGACACATACGCTGATTGTGACGCAAAACTAAATGTCCCTGTACCAAACTCGCATGGCCTATCCTTAATTCTTCTACAAGTCAGATGCTCGTCCTACGATCGACCGTGGGAGAGCTTCACTTCTTTTAAATTTATTTTATTGCTGTACAAAAGGGTCAAGTGGCCCAAAACTGCACAGTCTGTAATATGTATAAACGGCCAACAGCCATGATTTTTTTAAAATATTTATTGATTTGTTCCTTTTGTAGTGTATATAATTAACAATAAAATTCATTCATTCATGATGCCTTATCTAAGTTTTATAACATATTTTGCAATAAAGTATTTATTGTTATTATTATTAATTTTTAAAGGCGTTTTAACTAACGGCTAAAGTCATTTCACGCCCTACATTTGAACTTAGTTAATTAATTTAACTTTTAAATCATTTAATCTTAGTTAGCTATATCCCTTCCAAGTGCTATAATGCTGACTACAAACTCATAAACTAATCTATCCTATTGCCATCCAAAGCTTTTACCCGTGTAGATGTGGATGTATTGGTCGGGGTGTAATATACTACGCCCTTTAAGAGCTATTGTATCCCCGGTTCTGTGCATATAGCACACCGGTGAGTCCTATTTCATCAAGGAATTTGTTTAGGAGGCCCGGTTTCAGTGAATCTCTTCTACAGTCACATTGCACATCCCAAAGCACTTCCGCCTGCGGGCAAGTGTAGCACCACAGTTTGTTAATAGGTGTGTTGGTGTATCCTGTGCCTCTTTGCAGAATTTACATGTGCCGTCTTGGATTATTGCAATCTCCTTTCTTCAATCTTTAAATGTACATTTAGCTTGCTGTGTACTGTTAAGAATCCTGTTAGGATTCGCAGTTTTTTCTTGCTTCCTTTGATACATTCTGGCCCTTTTTCCTTCAGAAGTTTGTTAGGAGTTTCTTGGATTGTTTGTGTCCAATGAATGAATTCCATTGTTCCTTCATTTTCTTTTTATCCTGCCTGTTAGTGTGGGTTTCATGTCATAAAGCCTCTTTCCTTGCAAGGGTGTGCTTTCTCGTTGCATTCTACTACATGTGTCCTGGGACCCAGTAGAGGCTGACTTTGTTCTGAGAACCAAGTTTAATTTGGTTTTGTAGTTCAACACCATCTTTGAACTAATGATATTTGAGCTTAGTACTTTGATGGCTGCTTGGCTATCTGACATGATAGCTATGTTCTTGTTTTTGTACCCTTTGTCAAGTTGAATTGAGTACATCTCTCGATTGCGTGGGCTTCAGCTTGGAAGATACGGGTGTGTTTTCCCTTGGGTTCTGAGTATTTTTTCCAGGACCGAATACCCATACCCCTGTACCTTCTTGTGTACTAGATCCATCCGTGTACCAAAAGATGGTTCCATTCTTAAAGGAGATGTATTCCTTTCGTTCTATTCTTTTTTGGTACCTAGATTTATTTGGAAGTTTTGATTAAATTCAAACATCCTGTCCATGTCGGCCCTTGGAGCCATGAGTATCGGATGGTCCTTCATTATTTTGTTGCTGTCTCTCCATTTTAATTTTATTCCTATTGGAGGTTTCTCTTTAATGATACAAATAATAGTTTTCTGTGTTGTCCTCATTATCATGCGGTGTAGAGGGATTAATCCCAGTATTTTTTCTATAGCAACCATGGGACATGTTCTCATTGCTCCCGTTATACAGATGCACGCAAGTCTGTACTTTTGCCAGTTCTTTTCTTTTTGTTACTTGTTCTGCTTTATCGACCAAGGCTATGGCTCCATATGTAAGAATAGGTCTTACCATCATGGTGTATACCCAAAGCAGGGTTTCCAGTCTACATCCTCAGTTTTCCCCCCTATTCTTCTGCACACCATCAAAGCTCACCATCAAAAGCTCGCCTTCATAATGGTGGAGCCGATGTGTTTCTAAATGTCAATGTTTTACCTAGTGTGACGCTCAGATATTTGACCTCTTTTTTTATTTCTATCACAGGGTTATTGAGTGTTATTTCCTCATGTGATCAAGTTTTCTTTTCCCTGTAAAAGCGTCTATGGTTGTTTTATTAGGGTTGATTTCTAGCCCTTCTTGGATTATATGAAAGAGTTTCCTTGAATTTTACCCTGGCGGTCAGGACTATGTTATCCGCATAGCCCTTTCGGTCCAGGGTTTCGATCTGTTAGGTTCCATAGAAGAGGTGTCACGAACCCTCCTTGAGGACATCCTTTGGTTGTGCTGACTTGTATAGTGTCTGTTCCTATATTTGTTTCAGCTGTTCTAGTTCTTAACATTTCTTCGATCCATCTAGATGTGGTCTGGTCTGCGTGTTTTTTCTCGAAGGAGACTTTTATGAATGCGTAAGATGCACTGTCGAAGGCTCCTTCAATGTTGAGGAACGCGCAGATTGCTGTTTCCCTTAGGTCACTAGTTAACTTGTACAGAGCAGTTTCTGTTGATCTTCCTGCTCTGTATGCACGTTGGCAGTGATGCAGTGGCTTATCTATCAGCGCTGTCATTCTTATTTGGTTGACTATCAGCTTTCAAGTGCTTTCACTAGAAAGGATGTTAGGCTGATTGGTCTGTAGGATTTGGGTAGCTTAGGGTCTCTTTTCCCTATTTTCGGTATGACTGGCTGTTTCTATATATTCGTGTTGGAAATATTATTTCCGCTCCTTTTTGTAGCAGGATGGGAAAAATCCCATGCGTTCCTAGCGCATTATACTGGCTGAAAATATTAATCACCCAGAGAATCTGTTTCTATTTCAGCAGTTTTCTTCCAATTTTCTTTCTTGGGTTTATAAGTGCTGCCTGTAAAATGTGTACTTAGAAGGAGCATTGCTTTTTATTTTGCATCTTCGGTATAGCTACCCTCTACATTCCTTAGGGTAATATACCTTTTAAAATACTTAATACGGAAGGCCAATGTAAAAATCCATTTTAAATTGTAAAATTTATTCCTGTTCTTTAATTAGAATTTCGAATTTTTGTTCCATAATTTAAAGATTTTCCATAGGCTTGTATGGCCAGTAATAATAATAATGTAGTCAGACTAGCAACAGTATCAGCATGAGTTTAGGTTTCATTTCATTATTTTTTTAATAGGAAACACTAATAAGTCTTTTGGTCTAATTTTTACATAATGTTTTAAGTACTTGCAACTTAACTCACCATTTCTCTTATGGTTGGATGACGACACGGATTAGGACATGTGATTTTTCCCGCGGTTTCTTATCGCACGAAGGTTTCAAGAGCTGTTATCAAACCTGTTGATTGCCAACTTGTTTTCAAACTTGCCTTTTGACAAATAATTGAGAAGACAAAGGTATGTGATATTTTTCCTACCACGGACGGATAAAATCCGCCGTAAATAGGATGACGGACGATAAAAGATTTTCCGTCGTCGCGTCAAATTTTCCCGTCTCGGAACGACTGCTGTCATGCAGGGTGCTGGAAGGGCTCCAGTTAATTGGCTGGAAGGACCAGCATATCTACATTTCAGTTTTGCCGGACGAGCAGGTCAACGGGACAGCTGGACCGTCTAATCCGTTATGCACTTTCGACGTGAGTTATAATAATAAAATAATTATAATTATATCAATTAATAATTATAATTAATAATATATAAATACTAATCAATTAATAATAAATTATTCTACGCCCAGCGGATTTATAGCTATTAGTTTCCAATGTTGTAAAAGAATTACAGCAAAACCTCTTGGCTTGGAAAAATAGAAATAATGTTAGCAAACCATGGTTAAGAAAGACGTCAGTCCCTGGTCCACAGAGAATGGTTCAAAAAGGGAAAAGACCATTCTGACAAGACTGTGCATAGGTCATACAAGAATAATGCACAGACACCTTCTAGCAGGGAAGCGACCAGGTAGGTGCCTTGTTATGCAAGGATGAAAGAACGGTTGAGCACCTCTTTAATTATTGATTATTTGGAGAGCTTTAATTATTGTTGAAAGCTTCACTCTTATTGGCATTATTTCGGAATATCATTGGACTGGTGCATAGTCTTGGGACATGGCAGTGGGCACAGATCACTGTTTTGGTACCTCAGGGCTATAGGAATTTTTAATTGTAATGTAGTATTTGTGATGTGTTTATGTAAATTTATTGGAATGACTGTAATGTATTAGCTGTTTTAACCCTGCCATAAGGAGTATTTGGGGTGAGTGTGTGTGATGTAAAAGTGTACGTGAGGGTAAAAGTAAGTTTTAAGAAAAATGGAGTGGGTTCCAACACGCCCCCAGGAATATCGAGGACTGAAGGTGAAAAGAATATGGTTGTATCGATGTTGATGTACATATATGTATTGTATGTTTTATGTCTATTCTGTAGCTGACAACCTGAAGTACAATGAGAGGCTTGCATTATAGTATATTGACGTATAAATATAAACCTAGATAATCAGTAACCAGATTGAGATGTTCAAATGGTAATAATAATGGTTTTATAAAAACAAAATTAAAGCTTGTTTCTGTTAAATTGAAGAATAAAAGCATTATGGTCATGGAGCACTCTTCCAAAAAGTGAAACACAGTCTCAACATAATAAAAATTGCAAGTTACCCCTATTCCACACAGCTGAATTTACACGTAAAACCTCACATCTCAGCTTAAATGCCCATCTTAGTTTATGCAAGGAAAGACCGTCAAAATTAGGCTTCTGGAAATCAAGGATAGATGAAGCTTCTAATTCCTTGTAAAGAGACAAGTGTGTAGATATTTAAACCCGTAATAAGCAATCTTCCCAATGCTAAAAGGCAATCTTGGAGAGGAGAGCTGAAAATGAACATGCCAATTACAGGCGTTTTCAATTGTATTTATTAGATAAAATTTTCCAATGAGTAAACCAATGGAAATTGAATATTTATTTCCACTGCTGTGATTCTTGGAAACCAAAGAAAGCATCATTTTAATTATGAAAGAGAAATGAAGTTTGAGTGTGTAAACAAGCATAAAGTCTGTTGCTGTTTTCAAATACTGAAATTAGTTGGGGATATCAGAGGGCAACATAAATAATTTACAAGTGAAGTAATGTTTCACTTTTTCTATTGCTTCAAACCTCTGATACCCCCAAATCTGGCAGCCAACACATCACCAGGCGAGAAGCAGCATTAAACACACTCAATTTTGCTTTAATAGGGACATATTCTTGTGCAATAATAGCGGACGAGGTTTTGTTATAGCCCTTTCCACTGCTGATGTCTTCCTTGATAAATATTTCAACCAAGAAAGTTGTGGGGTAAATATAACTCCTAAATATTTGTATTCCTTTACTACCTCTATACGTTCACCCTCTTGTAAAAGCAACCTGAGGTGCTAAGCCTACCCCCTTTCTGATTACAATAATTTTTGATTTTTGTAAATTAACTGACAGATTCCATTGTTCATGATAGCCATGAAAATTTTAATATTCCTCTTAAGCTCCAAAGAAGTCTCTGCTAAAATAACTATGTCATCCCCATATCTTAATATTTTAATAATTGTACAATTCATGCAAATTCCACATTCAAGAATCCGAGGAATGTCATCTAATATCAGCACTTCTAATAATGAGCTTAGCATGCAACCATGTGGCATACCAGATTGTACCTTAAAAAAACTTTGTTTTGTTAACTGTTCTACTTTATCAGCCCATGCTATTGCACTGTATGTGATGACGCTTTCTCCCTTTCTTTACTTCTTTACGGCTAACCTCCCATTGCATTCCAACACCTTAACATTCCCATACACCAATGACATGGCATTCCTCTCTACAAACATTGATCGTATTACTGCCCACAATCTCCAATGCTACCTTTATGTGCTTGAACACAGGTTTCGATTGGAGAATCAAGGTAAATAATCAAATATAATTTTCACTCTTAATCACAAAACTCTCCTACCTGTCTATGGCTCCCCAATTCCTTCAGTGAATAGTACATATCTTGGATTTTTTTGACAATAGAATTACCCAGAATCTACGACTAAAGTTAATGGACTGTAACCTGAAAGGTATGGCCATCTCTACCACGGGGTGACAGAAATGTTCCAGAATCCGGCCCTCTGTCACATTGGGAACGGATTCGTGGTGGCTTGTGGTGACGCCCCTGGCGGGAACTTAGACAGAGGCTGTCTTCTACCTGGGACCTTTCGTGAAGCTTGCGCATGGCCAATGTATTAAACCTGGTCCTCACGGGAGACGTTGCGACCGGACGACAGCATGTAAGCGTTGAGGACGTCATGATCATGCGACAGTCCCTCGAATGCGTAAGTAAGCGACTGGAAAAGGGTAGTGATATCGGCGGTTTCTGACAAGTATGCCTTGCATTGTTGTGCGTATGACCGGCGTGGTACCCTTGGGAAGCGAAGGATCGGACCACCTAGGCTAGACCTATGGCATCCCTCGATTACGTGCAGCAGGTGTAGGCTGAGCTCGATAAGAGACCTTTGTCCGTAGACAGTGCTCATCTAGGGGGTGGGTAGCAACCCCACTTTATAATCCGAAACGCTGTCGGGGTGTTCCCGAAAGTTTCTACGCTAGGGGAGCCTCTACACTCAGAGAGATAGAGTCGCCTTCTCCATCTAGGGAGTACACGAGGGGGGGGGATGGGCTGATGTATTTCGGCCCGTTAGCCCCTCGCGTGCGGTGTACGACCCGACGCACAATGCGGGCCCGACCATTCGGAGTGGACAAGCGGAGAGCGTGGCTACTGACCCTTAGGGGCCGGGACACCACTACACCAATGCTGCGGCGGTAACACTTTTCTGTCGTATGCAGAAGTGCGTCAGCTCTCATCTTGAGAATCAAAGCGTCCGATAAGGCCGAATAGGCTAGGTGCGGACGTTAAAGATCCTCTTGTCTTGTTGACGATGAGTAAATCGGGAACGCATGTAACCTGAAAGGACTATTTGACAAAAGATCTAAACTGACACATAAATAAATTTATTATATACTACACACTAATCGCCCCAATTTGGACCTTCATGCTTGAACTGTACAGGGCAGCCAAGTGTTCCAATCTTATCAAAATCCAATCCCTCCAGTTCATAATCCTTCACATAATAGTAGATGCTACATTCTAAGTCACCAATCATACTATCCATTTCGATCACAACATACCCTATGCAGCCCACTCCTGCTGCAATGACATTCAGTCTAAACTATCCTCTTGTGGCAGTCTATTAATTTGCGACCAGTTCAGTTCAACCCTTCTCTCCAACCCTCAAAGAAAACTGAAGCGCAGGTGACCTTATAACCATCTGATTGTGTAACTTCAGCAACAATGGGTCTGCTGTTGACCCACACCATAATGGCCAATGAATTGTGTAATAGTTCAAATCAATCATACCAGACAAGTAAATGTGCATAAAATATTCGGTATGCATACATGTATATGTGTGTCCTTGTTAAAAGCATAATTTTTGCTTGTTACGTTGTATGCAGTTGTAAAATTAAAAAAAAAAAATAGTGTGTGTCTTTTGCAGCAACTGGTGGCTTCAGGATGCATAAAGGGCCTGTTCTGTTTTGACAACATATGGCATGCTGTTGACAGCGAAGGAGTTCTATACAGCTTAAAAAAGGATAGAGTCCAGTAATTGTTTAAATTTTGTAATATCATACTTAAAGTTTAGTTGTGAAATTTTTCCATTAATCTGTAGGGTGATAAACTTATAACTTGGTCTTTTCCGATAATTGTCTGCCTATTCTTGTTGGTTTACCCAAGAAATGGAAACAAAACCCCCAAAGAACAAAACTGTTTGTTAGTTGTAGATGATATAATCACAAAGCTTAACATTTTATACCATAGAATGCTGATGACCTGGTAAAACTTATAAAGGGAAAATTTGATTGGCTTTCTCAAATAAGATGCATATACCTTAATATGTAGAAAGATGACGTGAGTAAGGGACTAGTTGGAAGTTTTTTCTTTATGTTTTAAGAAAGGGGAGCGACATGTGTCATTTTTTAGTTTTCTTTATCTCAGTTGCTATCGAGCTGTTAAAGAGAAGGAGGCCACTTTCATTTTTTTAGAATTCTTGCCTTCACTGAATCAATGTTCATGCTATTTTTAAAAGCAATAACCCTACAAATACAGCCCTAAAAAGAGAATTTTCAAATATATTGGCTTACGTTTGCTTAAGAATCAGTTACAAGAGAGAGCCAATATAAAAATCTTCCGAATGATATATCTTTGTTTCAATCAAGATAACGTAATGATCCCCAAAATGAAGACCTAGTCAAAATCGTATTGTTGGGCCATATCAAATGCAGAAGTCATCTTTAGCATGCTCAGAATGTAGACATTTGCCCTATAATTTTCATGTGCCTGCTGCAGGGTTAAACGTGGTATTTGTAAGGTGTTTTTTTTTAAATCTAGAAATCCAAAGGTTGTGACAGAACTTACTGCAAGACTAGTTATATAGGTCACAGTTGGGAAAAAGTTGGAATCATTGACCTCCCCCCCCAAAAAAAAAAATTAATTTAAAAAAATTGTTGCTGGTTCAGTCTAACCAGGGACATTTTAGGCTTTTCACCATCTTCAGTGAGATGTCAACCAAGCCAGCTACAATGATTGGAATGACCAAATTACATCTTTTTCATCTTACATACCTCGTCAAAAATTTCATTTAGAAAATCGTAACTTTATCCATTACTGCAAATAACAAATCCCCGACCTCCACATGCAGGCCAATTATTGCTTGTCAAATTTTAATGAACACACTCATTTTTAGAGATGATTATGACGATGATCTATTTGGAGATTCGCCCAAATACCTTTTGCACTGGGAACTTCAAACGATTCGTAAATTAATTGACAAAGGGGAGATCTTGGCATGTTGCCAGATCAATAATGGCATTGCGTTAGTTGTCCAAGAAGATAATAATGTTATATTAAAAGTACACTATCTAAATGATCAAAACGCTCAAAAAGAAGTTACAATACACAAGTACAATGGACCGTTGATTAAAAGACATCAGGTAAACATATTTTATTTTTAAATTTAATTCTTTTTTAACTCTAGAAAATTTTTTGCCAAAGGGTACTCATATTACTTTTATAGATGAAGAAAATGTGAGGGTTGACTTTTTAAGACATTGGCTTCCAGAGAACAGCTATGTTTCAGGAAGTGTTCTCATTATTACCCTCCCTGAGACGATCACCTGCTCACTTTTCCTAAATGGACATGTCTTAAAACCATATTTTTTCTTTAGCTGGCCATTTCAGGCAGTGCATATGGCTTGGACTAGTTTAACACTACAAGGTCAAGTTTTATTTTATTTGTTGTATTTATAATTGTATATGTAAGATTATCGATCCAGCCGATGAAGTTGGGCTCTGGGGGCTATCAACAACTAGGTCAGTTCATCCCCAAATGCAATCAGTTCCTAAATCCAAACCCATTCACTCACTCTTAAATACATTCTTTCCTATTCAATCAGTTTGGGTGATACTCTATATTCCCCCATCCCTTTATACCTATTACAAACTTTACACTTTTACATACACTTTTCACATTCACTCCACTAAATACATTCCCTCTAAAAACACACTAGGGCATAAAACTATCAGCTAACTAAACTATATACAATAAAACAACCTTGTTTCCTCCAAGAATTGTAACAGGGGACCCAGACAACAACTCATCCGCCTTTTCCTTACCCTGCAGACCTATGTGTCTGAGTACCTAGGCAACAACTATCGTTTTGCTGAGATGCATGTTAAAATCGATATTAAATCTATTAACGGTTAAAAAAATGATTCTTAATGTGTTAAATTATTTTATTTAGGTGGTGAATCTTCACGATATCTTGTTATTTCATTTGTTGGTGGAAGTATTGCTGCTTTGGGGCCATATGGAGAGCACACGTTGCATTACCCACTTAATAACGTCAAAAACGTTTACATCTTCAAAACGAATCTTTTCAGTACTAACTTCTGTGATTGTTACACAACCACCTTGTCTAAGAAGTGTGAAGGTGTTATGATCCCTATCAAAGGTGTAAACCATCATTTCTGTACAAAACATATTTAATTAACATTTTCTATTTAATAAGGTGCGGTTGGGTTTTGCAAAATACCAAATTCAAACAACATCCTTATTTCCACGAGGCATAGGGCACTTTACAACTTCAACCCCGCGATTAACAAGGAAGTGAAAAAATTTAAAATGCCCCACTTATCAATTTTCGACCAGCTGTTACAATCTGCTGAATATCTTGAACAACTCTCTGAAGATATTGGATGCCATGACAGATATATTAACGCGATGGCATACAGTGCAAATTGTCAAAATTTTAAATTTTATATAAGCGTTCAAACAGTTTCAAGTAAATACATAATTTTATAATTTGTAACTATTATCAAAATCATTACAAATGGTGTCTTAGTTGCAGGAAATTTACACACATTCAGAGTACTTATTGAGACAGAAACCCCAGGCATAAAGTTTCCAGCCACTGTCTGGCATTTGGCTTTATCTGTATCATCGTCCGACATAAACGAATCTTTGGTACAGGAACTTCAATCAGATTTTTCTAAAGAAAAGCCGCTTGAACAATTATGCAATGTATCAATTCATGGGAATGATCGTTTTTTGGAAATAGATGCCTCCCTCACATCATTTCTCTCTGCTGGAAAATACAGGCCAACAATTTATATTGGGAAGGTATATTTTACAAAAACAAAACCCTATAGTTACTACATTATTCTTTTCTTTAATTTATAATCTTTATTTTTAGAGGAATCTCAATATCACATATTTTTTACAGTCGGTATCGACAATTCCATTTCACAGGTTGCACTTGTCTAAAAATGTCAGTATAAAAGATTTTTTGAACTCATTGAAATCCAAGGAAAACACAGATTCCAAAGAACATCAGGAAGAACAAAATCAGAGCTTTTGTACAGTTCGAGTGCCAATTAAGAAGAGCAAGTTGAAATCAGAAATTTTGATACAATTAGTAAATAATTCAAAATCATTGTGGAGAGCAGCCGAGTGGGATTCAGTCGGTAAACTTAGCCATCCATAGTGTTTTCTCTATAGACCCATAATCTGGGCTATTCAATATATAATTAGTGAAGCATACAAATACAAAGTAATTATTGCTTGGATTACATGCCATGTCAGCATAGAAGTGAAGTTGTTATTTGTTTATTATACGGTGCAACACTGTAATTGTAACTGCAATCATCATAATTTTAATATTCAAATATTAGTTACAAATTTAATTCCAGTTTTTCCCCACCTTTTAGGCACTGCAAATCTCCTAGAGCTGGCAGTTGGTGGGAAAATCGCTTCTGTTGAGCTGAAAGACTCGTTTATTGAAATAAAATGCAATGAAATCCACATATGCTACCAATTGAAATTGGCCATAATACAACTCCTGTCTTTGAACCTCAAAGTTGAGGGGAATGAAACTGTTTTGATGGAAGTCGAGGTAAAAATTTATATCTTGTCATATGATAATTTTCATTTAATTCTTTCCATTGGGTGATTTGTAGAATATATTGAAAACATTGGAAATCCTTGAGTACCAAAAGGATGAAATCGATGTCCAATTGCTGAAGAAATTATTTATTAGGAAGAACACACTTATTTCCGATAAAGTCTTTCAAGTCGAAACTAAATTTTCTACTATTCAGAAAAAAAAACATGATTAAAAATGCAAATATGAAAAAAATACTAGTAATATCACACATTCTGAAATATTATAGTCGGAATCAAGAATATGACAAATTTTGCGTTGTATCATCAAACTATTGAATTTGAAAGTTAGTACTTTTCAGAAGAATAAAAAAGGCTTTTAGTAGTGAATCTTGAAAACAACCATTCTTATAAATGTCCTATGCATTTTGGAATTGAGATTTTTTAATTTATTTAAGATTTACTGTTAAAGAAAGTTTTTTTTTCACATATCATAGTTTGACATGGTAGCAACGAGATGTACACTGTAAAATAATGTAATTTTATTATTTTCAAAATGTAAATAATGAAAATAAAAACCATTATCTGCGTTTATTTGCTGTTGTTTATTATTTTTGTATTTTTTGTTTTAGCATATTTAAATCAGTTCACCCAATGAGGTTTACAACACTAAGTCCAAAGTTTACAAAATTTCTTTTTTCACTGTTACTAAGATAACTTTTTGCAGCTTTGCGAGTGGTACTTGTACCACGTACTTCTTCTTCGCAATTACAGAGAGATAAAGTTTTAATAATTAACTGTACTGAAGTAAACAACACCTTTAATTTGCTGTCTTGTATTTATTTGTATTGTATTTATTTATTTTTAAGTAAATACTTGCGATTGTTATAATTTTTTTTGTTTACTGGATATTTTTAATGAAAAATATAAGATAGCTAAATAAAAAATTAAATTGAGTAAAATAATTTTACCAAAAATTTGCTATGGAAACAATGAAGAAAATATTCAATTCAGTACGGAGTTTTTCCTCCTCTTGCATTGATCAATGCTTGCATTTGACATGGAATCGATTTTATGAAGTTTTGAATGTAGTGATTTGGAATATTTTCTTACTCCTCCAACAGTGCCATTCATAATTTCTGCAAATTATCTGGTGTCATTGGGTGACTTTTACCCTCTTTGACAATTTGTCCCAAAGGTGTTCGATAGGATTTAAGTCGGGATTAGATACCATCTACTTGTACCCTAACCATCTACTTGTAAGATGCTAATTTGTTAGCATGGGTGCATTTGGACGGGTTGGAGGGGGAGTATAGTTAGGTTAGGTTTAGAATAAGTTTCTTTTACTCCCCTATACATATATATATATATATATATATATATACATTTTAATATGATATTTATTGAATTAGGACCTTCAACACATGTTAGAGATGACTACTGAAGAACAAGCTGCATGATGCTACTGAAGACTGTTGTGTGATATATATATATATATATATATATATATATAGAAAGCAAAAGTAAGAAAGCAGAGGAGCATCGGACCTGATCTGTGATGTATACTGGTTAAAAAAAATTAATTTCAGGTTTTATAACAAAGTCAAACAGACAGTTTTGTTTTACCTTAAGCAAAAGAAAACTAATAATTACTACTAACTAAAAATAATAATAAATAAAAAGCTATTGATGTAAAATATTCAACATTCCACTTAATTAGTTAAAATGAACTAATAAACTATAATAATAAAATATCACAAAAGTTGAGTTATTATTTTAAGGCAAGACAAGAGAAACATCAAGCAAAGGAAAATCTGTCATTGCATGGTGTATAATGTATTAGTAGTAATAATCTAGAAGGCACTTTATATAATCTGTTCCTACTTCCTTACTGCAGATGGCGCAATGGAGACAGACCCAGTACCGGTTCAAGATGATATACAGCAATTTGTTTTAAAAGTAATTTAATATGTTACTAAAGCGCATTTAGTGTTTGATTCTCCCATAACATTCAACAAGTCTGCAGAAACCTTTGTAAGTTCTTTTCTATCATAGATAATGTATTTTCTTTGATTTTACCATACAATTATGAATACTAAATAGTTGCCATATTTTGCAACACACACAAACAACATAGAAATGATAAAGGTGGATGAGTATGTTGTTTAATCATTTTAAAATATAGTTCTTACTCACAGTTTGTTGTTTCCAATTTTCCGCATTTCAAGCTTAAAGTTCAGCATCAAGTTGAAAGAGTTTGAATGGTACAATCATGTCACTCGACATGAACTGAAGAGTGAACCCGCCGATCCTAGTCGATTAATTACCTTCGGGGCTCTGTCCAAACCCTTGATGATGTGTTGTATTAAGGATCGTTTTGGATACGATAATTCTCAATATGTAAAAATGAAATTCTTCTTGGAAAAAAAAGAAGAAGTAATTGGATAATTATTGGAGGCTAATTAACTAGTGGAGTGTTTGGAAGCGAACGGGCAGCAAACAGGACTAGACAAAGCAGGAAGGATTGTGGGATGGGAGCAGAGGAAGGTTACCTAGGTTAGGATTTTAGATTAGGGGCATTTGTGGAAAAAAAATATAATTTGCAATATTTGGCGTGAAAAAGTAATATTTGGATGGAATCATTGCTTTATTTGTACATAAAATTATATTCTTGATGTTATAAATAAAAAAACTCAAAACATCAATAGATTGTGAATACAGGAGAGTCCCAATGTTCCAAATCAACTGGAACCAAGCTCTCCTCAGATTAGTAAAAATTCGCATTAGCAAAACATGTCAAATACTTTTACTTTGAAAAATAAGCTGGAAGTTTTGAAATACTGGATGAGGGTAATCTAATCATTTTAATCCGCGGTTTCATTCTATCAGATGCTTTTTGGCTGCTGCCATCTTTATTGTTGTATAAGAATTTTCGTAAAAACCGAACTCTGAAGATGACGACAAACTTAAACGCACCTGACAGACCAAATTGTTCAGAAAGGACCAAATACACGTACACTTCGCAGCCTTTTCAATTCAACAGTTCATCATAAGTTTGGAAGGGGCAAAGCCAAAATAACCAACTATTGATACCTTTTAAACTTAACTATAAAAAAACAAAAACAACAGTTTGCCAACTGAATATTTTTCTGTCGACTAACTGATAACTATTCAGATTTGACGTACCTTCTGATTTTACGGATCCTCTGTAAATAACAAATAATTTATTTATAGATTCTCTAGAAAAAAAAGACGAAAAAATTGGCAGAAAGTTTGTAGTCAGCGTGTTAATTTATTATTTAACATATATATTTGTTATATATTTGATTTATATGCAGATAGGAACGATAACAGCATAAATTTAATAATCTGAAAGGCTTAATGCACCTTTAACATTGAACATATTAACATAATGTCCTTTAACATAATGTATTAATTTTTACATTTTGATTATTAGTTTAAAAAAAAAGATAGACAACAAAACACATCAAACTTCATCAAAGACTTTTAAAAATTTATTTAACCTCTTCCCTATCCTTTTTGGGTAGGTACTGCTTTTAACCTTGTATTCAGTGCTGTCATGGATAACTGCACCATGATTCAACTGGTATTCACACAGCTTTTTAAGAGGCTGGAGCAACGCATCTCTGTAATTTTGGTTTTCAAGTATGGACAAGGCTTCTGCAGCAGTTTCCAAAGTTGAAAGACATCCGTCTGTCGGTTGAGTCCGTATCACATACTCACTTTTGGTATGATGGGTCAATTTCACCTGGAAAATGTGTAACTGTTAAATTGAAAATGTTTCCAAATTTTGCTGTAATTACCTGTTTTATTTTATGAAGTAGGGGAGTGCTGTTGTACATGCCTTTTGCTTGAGGCCAAGTTCCATCAATTAAAATCAAGTTATAATATGATTCTATGTCATCAACTTTTGGAAGGCAATTGATATCAACTGAATCCTTGGAAGGGTACAGGAGAATTGTATTCGTGTCAGTAATTATATCTGCTAGACCTATATGCCTAAAAAAACAAATAAAATAAAAACAATATCATTTTGGATTTCAACCACCATTGAAAATTAAGTTTTTCATGTACTGTCTGTATCAAGTTTTGGTTTTGAAGAAAAAAAGCAATTTCAGTTGTTACTGCCAAGCTTTCAATAGGGCAAAACAATCTTAAATATGTATACAGTTAGACATTTTTAACTTTTTTACAGGCGATCTCAAATTTCGACTGACTCAGTCTTTGGCAACATTAGGACTGAGTCGGTCTTTAAGGAAATTTGAGATCACTTGTAAAAACTTGTAAAAAAAACTTAAATAATCATTGTCGATATATTTGAGATTATTTTGCCCTGATGATGACCTTAAGATAAGTCAAAAGCTTGGCAATAACATCTGAATTTGCTTTTTTCTTCAAGACCATACCTTGAACAAGAGTTTTTGTCAGTAAAGCTGGTCGATACTTCGATACTCAATTGAAAATTGTTTTAGTTCAATACAATTTAATATTTATGGCTTACTTAAGCTGGGGAAACTTTTTCCCCTTGTAGAGAAGGCACTTGCCCTCCTGCAGGCCTTTCATGAGCATTGGCGCAGTCCTGAGGCACCGCTTCTCTTCGGCAGGATGCTGTAGTATGACAACTCTGCATTTGGGGGAGAGCGGTGGCGAAGGGCACGAAGCGCACCAACATACAACGAAAGGTCTTCTGTCAAAATATCACAAGACAAAAATGATTAGGTGGAAAATAAAAAAAAATAGATTTTATTATTTTTACCTGCAGCCCGAACAGATGTCCCTCATTTCCGGAGGATCTGCTGGCAGATTGATCAGGTCTGACCATACCTGATCTTCCATTTGTGGCAAATCGTTTGAATATTTCATACTAATTATTTAAATAAAAAGAAACTAAAACAAAACATTGTTGTATAACAGTAGAATAACCTCCCAATTTACTAAGATTGTTACACTGCAACCTAGTTTTTCGCACTTGTACCAACAAATATTAAGCCAACTTTCATTGCAAATATAGTTATTTATAATTAATTATAAATTAATTAAAATAAATAGCATAAAATTAATTATATGCTGAGTAATTTGCCCGTTATAATTTTGTAAATGTCCTGTTGCTAAGGGTGAACTATTTTTGTTATAACTAAACATTTCTCTGCTCTCCTTAAATATGCTTCATATATAATTTAGTATCATTAATAATAAAAGTAATATTTATTGATATGATTATTTACAAAATAAAACAAAATATTACAAAGAAAACATTTCTTGCTTGAAATACTAATCCATTAGCAGAGTTACAATATAAAATTTCTGCTTTTTTTTATTTTCCGTTATAACAAATAAACTTTCCTTAATAAAAAAATATATATATATAAAAATGAAAAGAAGAACTTTTTAAATTAGTAAAATTATAAATCCCAGTTTCTGTTGTTTAAATATTCAATAATATATATGATATTATATGATAATTTACTTTTCTTAAAATATTTTATTCCATACTATTTTAAAATAAGGCATACCGGTATTTTTTTGTAGTGATACTGATCTTCAATTTAAGAAAGAATTTAATTCAATTTATTTCTATTCAATGTAACAAAAGAATAACTTTTTAAATTAGTTAAATTATAAATCCCAATTTCTGGTGTTTAAATATTCAATAATAATATATTAGTTCAGCATACGATTTACCAATTTACTTTTTATAAATATTTTATTCCATATGACTTTAAAATAGGGCATAATAGTGTCTTTTTGTACTGATACTGGTATCTTCAATTAAATGTTAGATAATTAAAAATTATGTCACAAATCTGAAAATTTTAAATTTAGCTTTTCACCTTGCTTTCATTATTAGCTTAACTACATTAAATGACCTGGAATTTAAGTAAGCAACATTCTAGAGAAAAGTCCGTTTCTAGATTTTATATCTTCATTTCGATTTTCCTCTAACCGTGTCCTGAAAGTCAGTTCATTTAAAATTTGTTCCCAGCTATTTACTAAATTTATATTTGTATCCAAGTTGCATAGTGCTTTCCGTTAATTAACCCAAATAATTTTTTTGTTTACATCTTATTTTTGGAAGCCTAAAATCAGCCGGTTTTAAGTTTCTTAATATAGACTCAAAGAAAAAATTAGACTCTTGTTATGTATATATTTTTTCTTTATATTATTTACAAAATACTTAATATATTTTAATGTAAACCAAATTAATCATAAATTCATTGTTCATTGTTATGATAACAAAAATTTATTTATGATGGATTGAAAGTCAATTAACCAAAACACCAGAAAATCATTTATTGATAGATTAAAATTAATTAAATAATTATTCAAAAATCGTGGGTTGCGGTCTGGTGTGACGTAGATTTTAGACAAACATTTTCTTTATCGTGCCAACGTTTTTATCTACATTGAAATCCTCTTCAGGGCCTGGGATTTACAACCATTGTTTAAATTTAACGAACACATGTAGGATGTGGAAAAAAGTGAATTTATACAATGCAAAAAAATATATTTTTTATATCCAATCAAAGTATTTTTACTCACTCAAAGTGTTTGTTTTCTGTGTAATTGTGCCATTCTTATGTATCGTGTTGAGAGTGCCAGTGAGATATTGCTGTTTTATGTTTATATACGTTGGATTTTGAAGGGGTGGGAAAGGAATTCGGTATAGAAAGATATTTTCATATGAGGAGTCGGCTTCTTTGAGGTGAAAGGATTAACAAATAAATCTGACATAATTTACAAAATCAAATGTTCAAATTGTTCGGCAACTTACATTGGTATCACATCCCAATATCTGGATAAGAGAGTAAAGCAACATATCTGTGATTGCAAAAAACCGAAGCAAAATTCTACAGCACTGGCTACTCACCATTTTGAACACAAGCACCATTTCGACTTCAACAATCCAAAAATATTACACAGAACAAAACAAACATAAACGTAACTTTTTAGAAATGGTTTACATCAACAGAGATAAACACAGCATTAATTACAGAACAGAGACATGTAAACTCAGTTGCAGCTATGCAATGGAATATTTAAATTTTTTTTTCTAAAGATCATGTCCGATGTTCCTCTGCTTTCTTATATATGAATAATTTTGACTTCAAAATTCAACTCCCAAACGTTTTTTCTCAATTTTGAGGTATTCTGTAATATATGTGGCTGCTGCAGATGTTTTGTAATATCAAACGAATTATTTATATTGCTTTACTTCAATCGATTATTGAAGAATTGTGATATCTTGGGCTAATCTCGTGTTTTTCTAACGAATATAAACTTTTTATTTAGGTCCAAAGAGAAATGTCATGATTTGTGAATTTTAAAAGCTCGTTTGAAATGAACTGTGCGGCAATAAACCGTCACTCCTGCCAAATCGACTTTTTCCAATTTAGGCTGAATGGTAAAAAACGGGCCTTATATTTACGTTGTTTGTTTTATTGCCTGTTGTTTTATTAGGCGAGAACACGACGTTTGCATGTTGCTGGATTTTAGCCCCCCTCGGAAGTACTTCGTCTCTCGACCTCTTTGAGCTGAAATTTTAATGAGACTCCCAACTTAGTTGAACAAGTTATGTTATGATCAAAACCCTTAGTAACGTGTTAAATTGTTAAGTAATGATATTGGAAACGTGGTGAAGATAAACAAGAAAAAATAACAAAAATGATAGTTTACGAAATCTATTTGCAAAAAATACAATCATCGCAAAAAGCCATTTGCTGGAGTTTACATTCTTCCTTTTTAAAGATTTTCCTAATAGCTCGGGGAAACTGCATAATTAGTCAAATTTTCACGTGGCACCATCAATTCAACAATACTTCCATCTTCCAAGCAGCCACCAATGAACATGTAGCGTTCCTCTGGTAATATTTAGGAACTAGGGAGCATCCAAATTCGTCGAAGAGATCTCTACACTAAAGAAGTAAACCGCTAACACCAGCCACAAGCAGCAGAGTCCTTTAACAGCAGTAATGAATCGTACTCATCGCTAACTCGACAACCGACTTACTTGAAAGCTGCACGAAATTCCACAGCGCTCAATAGCTCCAAAATAACATAACACAAAAAGTAACACTGATGGTTCGAGACTTCTCCACCTCCAACTCAAACTGTTCTGAGAATGCCTCACTTATCTTAAACTCCTGGCTAAAACACAGTCAGGCAATTCTATTGTGGATGTTGGAAGACAGGAGGGGAATAAAGAAAATCAGCATTCTGACAAAATAGCAAAAGGAGGAACAGCCCTCGAACAACTTTTTCGATCTGAATCACAAATCGGAACACCATAGCATGCTAAAACAGGTAGTGAATAAACGGAGAAAAAAAAGTCACATCGGATGAGTTCACCGTGTGCTAAATAATATTTATATTTCTCTATTGCTAAACCAGGAAAACCAAAATTTTCTAGGCAGGAAAAAGGGAAGACACTAGACCTTTATACTAGCCTTTGGCCTATTTAATTACCATCTTAGAAAAACAGAGATATAACCCTGCCGACTGCAATGAAACAGAAGAGACAATGCAACATTTCTTATGTGTCTGCAAAGCGTTAGCCCGGAAATGATACAAAAAATTCATTAAAGGCGACACTAACTCCAAGAGAAATAAACTATAAGAGGAACCCCGGAAAGTGCTCAAATACGTGCACTTTATGGATATAAAGAAGGGTCAATTCAGTACGGTTTCTGGGTCGCAGTGGAAGAAAGGGAGGCTACCGTCGCGTGGACACCAGAGAACTTGAGAAGAAAAAATAAAACGTAGACCCACTTCCCAGTTTACCTCAGTCTACATCGTTCTGTGTAAAATTTTAGAGCCCAGACATATATAAAAACCCATCTTATATTATCAACAAACAAAAAAATTATCAATAAAGATAATGATAGATAATGATAAAGTCATAATATTGATTAAAAAGTAAATAGATGACTTACTTTTTTCTTATTAAAAACGTTATGTTAAACTTTGAATATTTATCATTTTCTTTATTCCATTTATATTAGGCATTGTCTTACCTGAGCTTCAAGAAAGTATTTTTACTTCGAATGATAAAAAGGGCGGGACAAATCCAAAATGATAAATTGCTTTACGAAAAGTTGGTATATATCAAAAAGTTGGCAAAGTTCATATAAAAATTGTCTTCAAAGTGAGTTTTATGAATTGCCCCTGTACGGAGATGAACGAAGTTTACGAGGTCCCCCCGTCTTGAACAACGTCGCTTCCTGTAAACTTTCGGTTAATTAAAAGGCCGAAACAAAACCTCAGATTAAATCTGACTTTTATTTTTTAAACGCAAACATTGCAAGCTTTTAAATTTTTGCACTGTTTTTATGGTTATGAGAATTTTATGTATACCAATTTTCCACTTCAACGACCTTAAACCTTTGTAAAGCCAATTAAGTCTTAAATAGGATTAAAAGAAACTAAAATAGGTATAATACATTTATATATACATTTTATAAATATGGCTTTATAGGCTCTGATTTGAACTACTCTTCATAGTGATTAAATTTAATTTCCTACACGGTTCACTGTGTCCCATATAATAGAAGCTTGTTATGCCTTGGTTGCTTACAGAGAGCGTGTAGGCATGCCAACGAATTTAAGAAATTGTTTTCGGACATGGTAGCGAATGTCTGGGTCCCATGTTCCGCTTTTTGGAGGTTGGTTTTTTATTGTATATAAATGTTTTATGTGTTTTGTGATTATATATTTCGTTTGAGGGCGTGTATTTATTAATGTGAGTGGTGAGGGATGATGGTGCAACATACCGTTATTATCTCCCCTCCAGCAGCGTGTGTGTGTGTTTAGGGTCTATGTGAAATATTTATAAAAGTACCCTATCAACCCTAATTTAGATTAGATTATTAATACCGTGTGTAGGTTGATGGAGGATTTTAATACCGACTAGAATGAAGGCAATGAATGAATGTATTTAATTGTGCGGTTGTCTTACCGAATTTATTTAGTATGTATTAGGCTAGATTTTAGTTTGCATGCGTTTGGGCTGAAATAATCTGGCTTTTTGTACAGCCCCTGCTGTTGCCTAATCTCCCGTTGGTTGGGAAGCGATGATCTCTTGGACAACTGGCTTATAGTAGCGACCGGCCACATAACCGGGTAGGTGAACTTCCCAGAGGTATAGACCCTAGAGACCACATATCGGGGAGTGCCCCCCCCCCGTTTACAAATTCTGATAAAACAAGGTTTCACCAATTTGCATAATTTGAAGATAGATATACAGATGGCTCTAAGACCAGTGTAGGTCCGGAATAGTATCTGTGGAATTAAGGAATTCATATAATATAAGGAATAGAACTCATATAAGCGTTAGGCAATATGCCACTGTCTTTCAGGTGGAAATTTATTAGGCCTATTACAAAGAAAAGAACTACTCTACGAAAGACAACTATATCAACCGTAGTAAATCCCAAAGCATTTTGGGATGCTGTTGTTACTTTCATTTTCAAACGAAATGCGCCCTTAATTGAGTGTTAAACGTAAGCAGGAAAATACATTTATACCTTATTACCTTTTTAATTATATAAATATAGATACAGGTTGTGCAGACAAACTGTACCCGATAAGTTAATTTTTTCTGTTAATAATTTTTTTTTATACATAAGAATTTAATTATTTAGTCAAAAATCATTGAATATAGAAAAAGTGGAATCTAAGTTTATTTAGCAGAATTTCAATTGATGCCGATTCGTCATAAACTCGAAATAACTTGAACTGAATTTTTGAAAAGACAAGATATACGTGATTGGCTGATTGTGTGTGTGTGTGTGTGTGTGTGTGTGTGTGTGTGTGTGTGTGTGTGTGTGTGTGTGTGTGTGTGTGTGTGTGTGTNACGATAAAGAAAATGTTTTTCTGAAACCTACATCACACCAGACCGCATCTCACGATTTCTGAATAATTATCGATTAACGGTCACTAATCACCACACATTTCTTTCAAACCTTCATAAGAAAATAATTTTTTATTAAAAACTCATGAATTTCTGTTCTCGCTTAATTTGGTACACTAAAGACGTTTTTCAAGTGTAATTATTATGGCTTAAGTGTTTGTGTTAATTATCGATCAAATTGACCTCTTCAATATGAGTTTCTATTTTGATTGAAAATCCCACTCAAATATTGTTCAATATCTTAAAAGTGAAAAAGGATTAAATTATGAATACAAACATATTCCCATCGTACGGAGAATCACATCATTTATTTACGATGAAAGTTTTAATAATTAAATCCAGCCATTAACTGAGCGGAACAATTTGAACTTGGAATTAAAAAATTCATGTGTACGAGCTGCTTAACGATATAATTAAAAATTAACTTCATGTTAAAATTATTCCATGTATCATTGTAATTGGATAGGTTTAGCCACTAATCCCTTCAAGTTTAATAAAACAAGTTTCCCATTCTGCAAGAGGGCCGTGACACGAACATTGATGTTGCTAACGTCTTCAGACACCGTCAGAGATAACAATTTCGTTGTTTTAGTTAAAAATTAATATTTAGTTGACAATATTTATATTAAATAAAAGGGATGAAGGAATTGAATGCAAAATACAATTCTTTTGTGTGTTATAATCCCCTTTTAAAATCTGATGATCAGACTGAAAAAATGTCTTAAGGCGTACCTTTTGCCTACTCTTTTCCGGCTTCTGAACTGTATTAGCTCTGATATCGAACGTATAACTTTTTATTTCATCATAACAGGAAAAAGTATTGCAAAGTGGTTTGAATCTGGTCCGCGACACCAAGTCGATACAGTTGATTCAAAATACGTTCAAACAAGTTAACGACCCAAAACATGCAGCCAGAATAAGAAAACTTTACATAAACCCAATTGAAAATTTATTAGCCATAGTGGGGAGAAAATTCCGAAAATTGAAATGTTCTTCAAGAAATAAGCTTATTGTGAGTTGTTCAAAAATGCCATTTTTTGTATTTTAAGTAACACTTAATTATTTTTTAACAAATAATCTATGACCTGAAGAATTCAATGAATGAATAATTCTATTGTTGAATTATCTAGTTTAGCTCTAAGTCAAATTAAAGAATACAATTAAAACCAAATATATAAATAGTTTCTTTGGCATTCAAAAATGTCATTTTTTTGTATTTTAATGTAACACTTAATTATATAAAACAAATAATTATATGAAGCGTATTATTGAACCATCTAGTATATGGTGCCAAGAAATTTTTAGTTTTTAAATAAACTCAAAGAAGAATATCCTAAAAAACCGAATGCTTGAATAATTTTTTGCCCCTCTGTGTGTGTGTGTGTTTATGGGTACATTCTTACTGTTAGATTGTATTCTGGGACATTATTACTAATTAAATACGTAATCTCTTTTTTTAAGCTAAAGAATAATTATTTTATAGTTCTAAGACAATAAATGATATTTAGTAATGGCTTCATGAAGTCACGATAGCCCAAGTGGATAGAGCAGCGGCGTATTGACAGGGGTTCGAATCCCGCTCCTGATACGAGCTTTTTCATCTCAACCAAGACTACACAAAAAGAATAATTATTTGAAATAATTAATATGATCAGTTAGACCACTAAACATAAATGGATTAAAATGAGATCTTCACTTTTACTATCCTAATGGAAACCCTTGATTAAAAATGAGGATTAACATTTGTTTGTTTTTGGTTTGTATTTTCGATTTTGTTTTATCCAACTTACAAGAATATATCGGTTAATTTAATTAAAATTAATAGTAATGGAGTAAAAGACAAATATCCCTATTTATTTTTGGGCAGTTTAGTTGAACAACATGCCCCCAACTTTATCATTTCTACAAGTTATTAATGCTTTGTTTACGTTATGCCTAGTTATTATGGAAAATAAACAAATAAATACAAGAGTTCATTTTGTGTATTGGAGTGTATTTTGAAGATATAGTCAATCATTTAAAATTACACCTAAATGGATGACGTTCCGTCTATCCCTACGTAAAATTATTGATCCCTTCAATTGTTGTCCTATCATTTTTTTCTCCAAGCGGAATAATGCAGTTATCACCGATATTACAGCCCCTTCCCGAAATCTTAAGACGGATAAGATAATAGTTTTGGGACAAAAAAAAAGTTATTTGTTGGATCGGGTGGCTCCCCCCCACATCTCGATCCTGGTGGGGGAAGCGGGTTCAATCTGGCCCAAGCGTTCAGTTGACGCCAAGCACGACTTGTGACCGGTTGTGTCCTTATCCCTTTTTGACAACCTGCCCGTCTGTTTCATTCAGGAATCGTTAATCAGATCGGGTGCCGGGATCCGGGTCGCGAAGTGCCTGTTCACTCATGTCAGGGAAGTCAGAAATAGCCGAATCAGCTGTAAGGGCTAAGGTAAATTGTTGAACTTTGTGCTTAGATCGGGAGACCTTTTCTCTCGAGTCATTGTCTCACTTCACGGTGAAGAGCACAAGACGCACGTGTGAGAAACTCCCGCATACCGTTCCCAAATGCACTGACCTTTGTTATAAATAGATATACTTTAAATGCCCTTCACAACTTAAGAAAATATCCTTCGCTCTATGAAAGAATCATTGACAGAAAGTTTCACGTTCTATTTCTTCTATTAACTACATACTTGTATCCCACGTGTGCAAACATTTAAAGTAATAAAATAATAAATGAGCATTTTAGCGAATTATTCACCTAACACAAATCCATAAGAATTCAAGACATTGGTGAGATAAACAGTACGCAATTTAAACGTTGATTTCCTTCATGACACAATAATTAAGTCAAAATTGATTCTTACGCGGGTGTTAAAGGGTTCGAAGCCTTTTGTCACGATGCCGGGAATACGTCAGTTAGCAAAATGTTTCTGAAAATTCCAGCATGACGTTTCTAGTTTATCTCGTCGATAAAAATGTGTAAACGTTGTAAATTCGAAACCTGTTGTACTGTAAATTATTAAACAAGATTGCCTTGCAGAGAAAAAAATTAAGATATGTCCGAACGTAAGCTTGCCTAAAGATAAACTAATTAATTTTGATAAGCTTTTGGTTTATGTAAATTCAAAATCACACAGAGGTACGATACTTTGGCCCAATTTTAAACTAATAAAAAACAAAAATATTATAAACATGTTTTAAATAAGTTGTTAGCGGAGAAGTATCGTTCAAGATGGGTTTTATTTTTGATTAATTTTTTAAATATACCGACAAACAGCATGGTCATAGTCGGCTCTCATGTTTTTTCTCGCTCTTGAAGGTGGGATAATAGGTCATCTCAAAAAAACCACAACCAGTTGTTTTAATTCTAAATTCTAAATTTTTAACCAGTTATCCACAACGTTTCGGATTTATTTTAATCCTTCCTCAGGTGAGTTAACGCAATGGTTAAAAAAGTGGTCGTTAGTCATTAATATTTTGTAACAGTTTATTTTAAAAAAGAGCCAGGGTGGTACTTATTCAGACTAGGAACAAACGTTTTAATATTTTGAACCTGCGTTTGTTCATAGTCTGAATAAGTACCACACTGGCTCTTTTTTAAAATAAACTGTTATAAAATATTAATGACTGATGACCACTTTTTTAACCATTGCGTTAACTCACCTGAGGAAGGATTAAAATAAATCCGAAACGTTTGGATAAAAACTGGTTGTGGTTTTTTTGAGCTGACCTATTATCCCACCTTCAAGAAGGAAAAATCATATTATTGTATGTTTATGTGGATGCCATCTTAATTTAGAGTCGAACGTGAGGCCAAGATCTGGTATTTTCAACATATTCGAAGGCCATATATTTCATTGCAAGAGGGGGGACACTATGTTCGTTCCTCAGTCTACAAAAATGTACAGCTTTTGTCTTGGTCCACGACAAACACAATTCTATACCATCGGCCATCTCGACAGTCGTATTAATAGCGTTCTGCAGTTTCCTACCAACCTCTTCTTATTTTTTCCACTTAGGTATTTAGGTCATTCACATATAATGATTTCATTATCTGTGGTTGTATTTTGTAGTTTATATTATTTACAGCAATTGCGAAGAGAGTCATGGAGAGGACTGCCCCTTGCGGTATTCCCATTTCCTCAGTATAGACTTCACATAATGTGTTACCAGTACTTACTTTGAATTTTCTGTTTTGTAAAAAACTCATTATAAATTTCATTATAATTCCTCGTAGTCTCCAATTCGTAGCATTTCTTTATAATTCCAAAGCGCCAGGTAGTGTCGTAGGCCCTCTCGAGATAAAAAAATATTGCTGTTGCATATTCTCTTATGGGGTCACAAAAGGTTAATAAAGTTTATATCTAACATTATTCTCTGGTTCTTCTTTTTTGGTCGGTTTTTCTTATGTGTAGGTTTTTGATGAAGTAATCCAACCTTTTTGTTTGTATGTTTTTATTTATGCATGTTTGTATGTTTTTAACATGCACCCTTTTCAGACAACTCTCCCAAAGACCTTACATGTGTAAACCAAAAAACTACTATAGGCAATACTTTTGTTAATTCGGTATAAACTTTTATCTCAATTATTCATTTTATTGCTTCTATCTGACCTGAGATAAAAGAGTTTACTGTTTGCATTGCTAATCTAAATTAAAGTCTTCCAGCGACGAATTACATCATCCGAAATATCTCGTATTTTCGTGAGAAAAACAAAGGTCATCAAGCAAACATGACGAATCCATCCGGCCGACGTTCAGCGGGAGTAGGCGGGCCAGGATAAAATGTTTGAAAGAAATAAGGAGGAGTTCAAAAACACCCTCTTCCATTTATGTAAATGCGATTAAAATGCGGGCTAAAGAAGATAAATATGAATCCTTATCGTCTGTTCTGCAGGAGGATGTGATCAACGACGTGGAAAGGTCTAGGGGGTCATGGAACTACACAGATATCATTTTCTAGATCCGTATTGCTAATGTTCGAAGTTTTTGAAAATGGAAAGAGATACAAGGACCGACCACATTTTTTAAAATGTTTTTTATAGTGAATAAAAAATATTTTCACTGGATAAAAGTTGAATGGTCCCAGTTTAAAAGGTCCAATCTTATAAATGAATATAATTATCTCACAATTTTTTTTACGTTAGAAATCACCCAATGTTTTTGTTTATACTTTATTTTTTTAAACTTTTATTAGGGGAAATAAAAGTTAATCCTGTATCCCTTGGTAATGAAATTCCGTGTTTTGAGTGCCATTCTCAAGTTTTTAAAACCGGACTCCAAGGTTGTCCGGTCTCCCAGTCGCGTTTATATAAAGCCGGTTTATCGTCGAACTCTTTGTCATTATAAGTCTGATCTTGACCAAGAGGCTGGTAGGCGCCTTGGGAAGGAAACTTAGGAACCGATAAAATCATCTCCAGTAGCATCACGTGTTCCGAGAGCAAAAGGTTTCTCTGGTCCAGCACGATTAAATGACATCTGAACATTTCGTAACAATCCTTGATATCCTAAGGCTAAGAGTCTTCAGTTTACTATATTATTACAGAAATATCAACTTTTTATCGGACGCCTTTGGCCGTTTCCATTAAAAAATCGCAAAAGACGAGAGTCTTTTATTTATAAGGGTTTTTTCATAAAAAGATTTAAGATTATTGATCACCAGGAAGGAAAATCGTTAAAATGTGAGTAAACGAAGATTATTATATAATATTATCAGATGCAAAATTTTACGTATGAAAGTTATAACCCTTTCAACCTCCACTTATTATTATTTATGAATAATTATAAATATAATAAGTAATAGTAAGTACTATTTAGTGATGTTAATTAATGATTATTTAGAGATCGTGAGATGCGGTCTGGTGTGATGTAGGTTTTGAAAAGCTAATGTTTAGATCATTTTTATTGAGATCATCTTCAGGGCCTGGGATATACAAACGATGTTTAAATTATTATTTGGAGATCGTGAAATGCGGTGTGGTGTGGTGTAGGTTTTAGAAAAACATTTTCTTTATCGTGCCAACGTTTCGATCTTTATTGAGGTCATCTTCAGGGCTCAAAGTGTTTGTTTTCCGTGTAGATGTGTCATTCTTGTGAATCGTGTTGAGAGTGCTCAGAGGGTTTAAATTTTACAAATACATTTTTGCACATCCTACATGTATTTGTAAAATGTAAACAATGTTTATAAATCCCAGGCCCTGAAGATGATCTCAATAAAGATCGAAACGTTGGCACGATAAAGAAAATGTTTTTCTAAAACGTACGTCACTCAGACCGCATCTCACGATTTTCGAATAATCATTGACTGACGGTCACTAAACACCACACATTATTTATAATGGCATGCTTTCTCATTTTTTAATTTTTGTGATTTTGGAAAATGAAATAACCTTTTTTTACACAAACAAAATTGATTGGTTTACAAAAATATGGCTTTGAAGAACAAATAATATAAAATATTCACAAAATTTTAAAACAACACATTAAATAACAAGTATTGAAATTGAAAAATATCGATTACTCTGGGGTAGTATGAATGTAATTTATTAGCGCGATTGGAAAGGCTTATTTCCCAATTACGACGAGAAATATCGAGTGCTCGGGGCTAAACTAAAATAATGCGCTCCGACATTGAGAACGTTATCAATTTCTTCATCATCGTGATCATCGAAATCTTCCATAATGGGATCGAGTAGTTTTGGAGATAGCTCATTCTGACCTCTCCATCCGAGTAATTTTTTATTACATGCAACATAGATAAACAAATAAATAAGTACAAATAAATTTTTGTGAACTAGAATTTCACAAATAATTAAAAAAAGAAAAATCAATAACAGAATAAGGTTCAATGAAAATTATGAGAAATAAAAACGTTCCATTGAACTAAGCTGAAAACAGGAATTATGTTTTATAAGCTGTTATTCAACACGGTTACTTTTACATTTCCAAATACCTTACAATTACGAAACCAGTTTTTATTGTAAAATAACGTAAAGCATAAAGAAAATTGACTTATCTGAGGTCTTAGGTGTGCCTAACTTAACTGGAAAGTGAGTGAAACCCGGAGATAAAGTACTACTAACAAGCTTGCCTGAATGACCAGACAAACGTTCGCGAAGAATGTTGCTCTACAGATTCACACACTTTGTTTAAATATATCCGATTGGGAAGATCTCCAGGTCGATGTTTCGAACCTTGAAACATGCGGAAAAGTTGCTATTGCCCCGGGGCAACAATGCCGCTGAAAGGGTTAAATACAAAACTGTTTCAATTTCTTCGTTGATTTATAATATTTGTAACGATAACTTTACTGGACATTTTTAGTCATCTACAATTTGGCAAGTAAATAGGAATATACAAATATCAAATAAATATTTTCCACATACGAAAAAACTTTTCATACATGTTTTTGTCAACGATCGCATAGAAAACTATAGTATAAATGTTT